GCAACATATTCCTAATGAAATCTGAAATGCAATTTAAGCCTTTGCATTTCACAAACTTTCACACTACACTGGAATGTGCAAGCCTTTTTTACACTTTAAGGGCAGTACCTTAACTCACAATATAACAGTCAAGAAACATATTCCATTTGTCAGTATTCATATTTTTAAAAATCAAGGTCAAGGTTTTGCAGCTTTTTACAATGGTCAAAATATTCTTGGGAAGAATATGGGTAAAATATAAAACTGGAGTAGTTTATAAGTGTTTGGAATATTTCAGAGTATTAATGTGTTCTAATATATTTATTTATATATTATTTATTTATTTATTGCTATACTCAATGCACACAGCACAGTATCTGAAAGAACACCCATTCTGTGTGGATTTTCTCTCTTGCTGAGTTCTAGCTCTTTTTGGACACTTGTCCATCTTTTAATTAACTGGATAAATAGATTGTATGTATTTCTTGTCATGACCCTCTCAAACTGATTTATGTTTACATACATGAGTAATTCTGCATGTGTGAGAGGCAAGGAAATTTGTGGGTGATATCTTTCACTGGATCAACTGTACTGTTGGGATAGACTTAGACAAGCTTTTGTAAGCAGTATATTCTTCTTCAGGTCACTTCGGGTGGATAAACCCTCTGGTGTTATTTCCATTTAGTGACAGGATTAACACAAGCATTTCGTTCAAGAATTCCTGAATGTGTTAATGCCAAATCTAGTTTCCACAAATGTTTGCATGGGCACATTAAAACTTCACATCTGTCCCTGTGACTCTTGATCAGTTGAGAAGAACAGGGTACAAATCAGGACTGAAGCAAATTAATTCAAAACTGCAGATGAATATTTGCAGCAGAATAATTTCAGTATTCACCCAGCTCTAGTCTCACTACATGCTAGTGTTCAAGATGTACCTACATTTTTCATCAAGAAAAGACTTTCTACTTTCAGTCTTTTGTATTGCTTATTCTACACTTCACTGTTCTGAAAGCCCCATGGCAACACTGAAGCAAATGTAACTTTACAATAAATGGAGCACATTCAGTAGTTATTCAATCATTGCTTTAGCAATATCATACATATTTGGCCCAGAAACTATGAGTAAAAGAATGACACTTCTTGTTTAGAAAATATAGCCATATTTTGTGTTCAAAAATATTTGTACTTCATTATAGATACATACATCTCACCATCTATCATCTATAAATATGCAATCTTGGACATGAAAAACTGTCTGCATTTAATTTGATAGACTGGCTGAATGTTGTTCTCATTCTGAGGGAAAAGGATGCTGCAGTTTACTTGCTCATGCATACCTGAACATAGACAGGTATGAATGAGGTATTAAGGGAATCATCATCTTATCTTTAAATCCTGGAAAAATTATGAAAAACTATTTTAAAAAAGGATTCTAAGTAAGACTAGTTTGTTTCTCATCCAACTAAAAATTCCATTGTTTGGTCCAATTAGCATGACTTGGTGGTCTTTTTGTACTGCCTCTTGCATTCCAAGCCTTGAAGCATCTGCTACAGATGTTTTATTTCCTTTATTTATTTATTTATTTATTTTCCCAATTTTGTTTCTAATCTCTGTTTTTTCGTGGTTTCCTGAAGTCCTTCTGACAAAGCCACATACTCCATTCTTGTCCTTTGCGGCACTGGAGGGCACTGCAGAACACATGAAATTTGTTTCTAATTTTACATCTGCCAAAAAACATTCCTGTGTTAACAATACATGCCAACAGCACTGATAGGCCTTCTCCTGCTAATGCCACAAAATAAACCAACCCAAAAGGAAATCAAACAAACTAAAATGCAGCACAAATATTTTTGCACTTTTTAGCTTGTGAAACCTTTCCTCCCAGTTAGGCTTTTTGGAATTCAATATTTTCCTGTTTGTATTTAGAAAAAAATTACAGTACCAGAAAATGGGAAGAAAAGGTTCAACGTTTCCCTTTTTGCTGGTCATGGCTATCAGGAAGAGATCATAAATATCTCTGGAGACATTTTAGAAGCATATTGAATATGATTTCCTTACACACAGTTTGTGCATTTAAACCAACTGCTATAAACAGTAAATCAAACCCTATACTAAGTTAGTTATTTCAGGACACTCCCTCTGACCTTCCTTCATCATTTAAATAGGATATGCTTCACACAAAATATTTGTTTAGTCATCTCACTTTTATATCCTAATTTTATACCCAAATTATTTTATATCCATGGCAGAGTAAGCCTAACACAATGAACACAGCATCACTCAAAGAACAAAGGGTCCAATTAAGTGAAGTCCTGTGACTAGAGCATTATGTTCAAATACTTCCAATGGCATCAACAGGACTCCTGCCTGCACTGAGGGGACTACTTACTCATGTGCTTAAATTTAAGCACATGCTTAAGTGCCTCACGGGATATGGGACCTAACTGATAGTAGCAGAAGTCATTTTTATCCATGTTGAACCTCAGGTAACAGTCCAGCCCTGAGAATTAAGAATGATAAATGGAACAGAATTCCCAGAACTGAACACTTCCTATCTTATAAATTTTATGAAAGTCTATGTTACTTCTCAGTATTTACAATGATCATGAGTACCAGCATGTCCAAAAACAGGCTTAATCCCCATTGTACCACACACACAAGATATAGGGGTTACCCTTAAAGAGTTTACCATTTTGGAAATCTTAGAGCAGGAACCCCAATTCAGACATATCCATAAAGGTAACAAATTATATACTTCAACACTTCTCATGAACCTAAATGATAAATCCTTTAGTTGTGTCACATGTACAATCGTTTTGCAATGGAAGAGTCAGCTCCTAGCTATGAGTCCCCTCAGAAGGTTCAATTTTGCCAGTTTGGGACAGGGAGGCAGGAGCGGACAGGGCTACACTATGCAAAACTTTATGGATAGTTTCAATTTAAGTCTGGGCCCATTTCACAAAAAGTGCCCTGGGTTTCAGAGCATAAAACCAAATATTTCGTTTAGCACTAACCCCCCAAATTTTGCTGCCTTTCAGACTGAACTACAGAGAATTCACTGTGTTAAACTGAGAATATGAATATTTTAAAACTCTGTTTGGTTCTTGAACAATCTAAGTTTGCTGCTTTAGTGACTTCTCTCTCCTTTTTCTGTAAAGGAATCTGTTGGCAAGAAAAAAATCAACTCTGCAGATTTTTAGAGACTAATCTGTCCATCTACACACATGCACAGCATATATTGTACTGTACTAAAGTCTCTTCCAATATGGATTAGGGGCTAATAAGCTATATGGTTCTGCAAATGTTTCTGGCCTTCTCTTTTTAGTTGTTATATAAGAGTCATATTTCATAAGAAGAGAAACATATGGATTATATCTGTCAAGCACTGGAGTGTCATAGTCTGCTGCTGAAACACATTTGGAAGAAAACAAAGCTATCTACAAGAAAGCTGTTAGAATAATTGATTTGTTTGGTTTGTTGGCCAAACAAAAAGAAAAATACAAATAAAAAAAAAATCATATTAGGTAAGCCTGTAATGGAAATAATGCAATTTCTCAATTAAGTTCTTTAAAAAATGTGCATGAGTTTTGCTTGATCTATAACATTTTATTTTCATTTTAAAAAACTCTTTTAACACTCTTCTCATCATATTTGGGCATTTTGTAAATTGGTGTCATTCAAAACACTTTGTTTTGACATATTTGAAACAAAATGTTTTGACCTCTCATAAAAGCCTTTTTTGGATGAAAGCAGTCAGCAAATTTGACTCGGTTTTAGCCCCAGTGAAACTGATTTTTTCCACAAGTAAACTATTCATAAGGAAAGAAATAAGACTTAGGTCTAACGCTAATCTGCTGTAAAAGGAATTTAAAACCTCTTTGCATATCTGAAAACATCATCTGCATTTTCATTAGATACAGTCAATTGTAGGGAATGCTTAGCAGAAGGAGTGCAACGTGCTTGTTGTTTTTCTGCCATTGGCTTGTGCATGTTCCCTTGTGCAGGCCTCTTCACCTTGGTTGCCCCTCTCCTCCCCCCCGCCCCCTTTCTTTTTTTTTTTTTTTTTTTACAATAGCAAGATGGCTAATTAATATTTGTATGGATCCCTGACCATTGAAAGCAAGCTGATAATTAAAGTTTGTAATCTCAGCCACTAACTACATAAGACTATACAAGTGAAAACCTTCAAGAATGTCACACACTTTTTGTCTTTCAACTCAGAAAGAATGCTAGTAATGAAAATAATTTCTATTGGGGTGTCAAAAGGAAAACAAATAACCAACATGGCAGTTTACAAAGTACCCACGGTTCTCACGGAAAGGACCTGAGGTTACCCATACAGATATGTATACAGCTCTGAATCTGGAACAATCTGCCCAAGATACAAAACAATGTCTGATGCGTATCAGATCAGAGACTAACTTCTCCCTTTGTTTGCCTCTCGCACATAGAAAAGCAATTTTTATAAGCATTCTTCTTCCTTTCAATAGTCCTTCCTAGCCTTCCTCATTCCCTTCTTTTTCTCCAAAGGCTCTCTCACCACCCACAGCATTTACAAGCTACTCTGTAAAATACTGTACCTTTTCTCACATCTGTACATGAGCAGGATGGAGCACAAGCTTAATTCTAAATCCCCCTGGCCCTTTGTCAGTCTGCATCATAAACGTGACATGACTTCAATATGTATTTTTTATTGATATACATAAACATGATTTGTAAGACGAGTCAAATTAACAATCGATTACATACTAATGGGCTCTAATCAATAAGTTAATTTGACTAAAAGGGGGAGGGGAGGGAATCCAGAAGACACTAATTTAAAATAAGAGGACCATTTGGCTTTACAGAATGCTACTCGGGATATAAAATAAAATGGAGCAGTCCTGTGTGGAAAAATGCAATTTCCCCTCTCTTGCCTTCTCTTTGATAAGATGTATGGTGTGTTTATTAAAGAATAAAAGAACAATTATTACATTTACAGCAGATTGGACAGGTTCAGACAGCTGCCTGCTTGAACTATATCAATAAGAGTTGTGTCAGCCTGCTCCCTAGTGTTGTGAGAGGTGTGCAGCATCTGACAGGAGTTAAAGCAAACCCAACACAAGCACATACACACACAGATCATGTTTCTAAAGACGACAGCGCACTGCTCCAGCTGTGCCCAGTTAGAAAAGATATGAAGCCCTAAAGAGCACTCTTGCTATCTTCTGGGTGGCAAGGAAATCTCAATTATACACACAAGGGATGTGGTTAGTGGAAAAAAAGGAGAAAGAATGTTTAAATTGTATACGTAAATTGTTTTGCTTTACAAGATGGAGTAAATCAGCACATTTGTGGGCCATATTTATCTGATCCACTCAGTAATAATCTTTGTGAAGGAACACCATTCATGTGGTATTTATGCCTTTGCAAAACATAACCAATTCCTTAAATTCAATTAAAGCATTAGTGAAAAATATGAAATGTTGCTCCTGAGCTAGTCATTGCTGCAGAAAGTCACATGAATGGGAGAATATTCTTGACAACTGCGATAAACTCCACAGCATTAACTTGATTTCTACCTGTTTGGGGCTTTGTTATAACCTCACTCACACCCATGTGGAGCAACAAGGGCATAAAACCAGGGGAGTGAGAGGAGATTTGGGTATTGAGTGGAATTTTTTTGCATTGTTTTCCTATTAAAGGGCCCAATCCTGTAGTTTTAATACATGAAATCCTTTTATTGATGTTTGAAAGAATTTGTCTGAATAAAGGTGGCTTAATCAAATGGCAAACAAAATCAGGCAATAGCATTTCAAATTCTAGAAGCTCAGAGTTCTGCTCATTCTGACTGGGTGTGGAAAGAAAAGGGAGCACAACCCCTGCTCCACGTTGAATATTCCTGTGCGACTCCACCAGAGAAGTGAATGTCCTGGGAACAGAATCTACCTATAACTTAAAGGTGGTGGGGTAACACGGTGATGGGGTAAACAGTGGTATGCTATTCTTCATGGAGAACATTGTTTTACAGTTGGTACATCTAAGTCCAATCTTTTAAAAAGAGATCCTGATTTCAGTTGCACCTGAAAAGAAGTTAGAGAAGTTACTCCAACTGAACGATGGCAGTTTGTGACACCTAGGTGTTCAGTAAAATCATGGTAATAGACAACAGTCTCCTCATACGTACAGTGCAGAAAGAATACATCAAAAACACTCCTTAGGTTGCTTTAAAAGTTTCTACTGACTTATTTTGAACTACTTCTTTTGAAAATGTCAACAGTTGCTAAAAAATTAACACTATGCAAACACTGAATCTGTCTAGAGGAAAATCATTTTGCCAGATGTAGGCAAAGATCTAGGTTTGACTTTCAGGAGGGGTCAGTAAACTCAATTCAGAGACTAGGCAAATGGGGATTTGGCATGTAGAATAGGGGGTCATCTGATAAAGCAAGAGTCTCCACTGTTGCAGGCACTTACAACAAGATAATTGACACTGGTGAGAGTTACAGCCCTCAAGCCAAAGGTGGGGGTCTATAATGGAAGGCAAGGTCACATATATCACAGAAATGTCCATAACCAAGACGGCCATCAGGATTAGAGCACTCAAAGATGTTGTAGTTCCCACACCTTTTTAAACAATAAGGTTTAAATCAGTTGATTTGCTACTGCAGGGTAACCCAAACCTTATTCTCCCTTTGAAAAGAAATGCTGTAAACCTGGGCATTCCAAATGGCATCTTGGATGAGTCAGAGACAATTAGAAATACAATCTATATTGCTGAGTTATATTAACTATTCATTCAATCAAATAATATTAATTTAATATAAAATGCATACTTGAAATTTGTCGAGTCTTTAGACAAAATCCCTGGTACATGTATGGTTCCTATGGATGGGAATATTCGTCCACCAGTATTTGCTCAAACAAATTCAATCTAATTCACTTTGTATGCATTTCTGCCCTTTCCACAAGTACTTTAGCAAATGAATCTCTCAGCAAGAATGTCCTAGAAACAGAAAATCATAAGTAGATAATGGGAAATATTCATGAAAAGTAAATTCTGAAGCTGTAACTATGAATATTTGCAAAATAATCTAATTGTTTCAAACAAAGTTGCATTAATCCAGTTGGGAACAAATAATGATGACAAACCTGTATGTCCTCTCACAAGTATATATTGTCAACACGTACAACTAACTGTTTGAGAACAAGCCTCAGAGTAAAAGTTACACAGTAAAACCATTTTGAGAAATAAATATTGTATTTTTAATATAGTCTTGAATTACCTGTTGATCCCTGGTGATCAGTTTCAGAAGCTGATAATGTATAATCATTCGCTAAAAAAAATACAAAAGCAATTGTTAATATACCTCAAGATTCACAATCATATGGAATATAGGGGAAAAATGTGTTATTTAAATTGTCATATTGCCATTTTCAGTATATTGATTTTACTTTGAAACTGATAATATCACACCTCTTCACTTGACAAGTTCTACATAATTGTTTTCACAACTATAGAATACATGTTTTTAACCACAAGAAAACCAAGCTACTTGTTTTGTTTCAACGCTAAACATATTGAGCCTTATCCTAATTTCTCTTAGGGCAGATGAATGACATTGAAGTAAATGAAAACTGGATTCTGATTGCATAGAAGTGAATATCTGCAAGATAATTCAATGATAAGATACAGTGAAATGCTTGTGATGTTCAGAGATGTGTCCATTCAAAAGTATTAGCATCTTGAATATCCAAGAAAAATGTTTGAAAACAGTACTATTGCTGTGAAAAGAGAAGTAGTTTTTTCTTGAAATACTTCTCTGGCTGCATCTACACAAGATACTGACTGCACAGTAGCTTGTTACTATTGCGCAGTAGTGTCACAAGGCATGAAGTGTGACGTGATTTTACTACACAGTAAAATCACGTCACACTTTTGAAAGTCTGGCACCCCTTTAATATGAAGAAGCTGTTAAGAAGCTGTTGTTAAGAGTGACCAATCATCTTTTAAACCTTTGACCACATAATCCACCAACTCTGTGCATTAAGTCTGTCATATTTCGGCTTTTTTACATCGTTCTTGCTACCAAACCTTTATGCTTTTTCAAAAGAAAACATCAAAGAAAGAGGCTCATATACACTTTTGGTTTTATGGAAGTATTGGAAGTTAAATTATAGAAGGCAAATTATTCTCACACATCTTAACAAGAAACACAAGATAAGCAGGTAAGTTTTTTCAGTCAAACAGTTATTTGAAATGTGTATAGGTATCTCCATGGGCAGATCTAGAATTTTGAAAAGGAAGGCAGAGATGGTGGAGTGTATCATCATGATATATGAGGCAACACATTTTTTTCCAGTTAAAAACAATATGCTAGGGGCCTAGGGCTGTATTGAAGCTAAAACAAATATAACTTCACTGAAATGAGTTAAAAACAGTCTTCAGGACTGTGGATAGGAGCTTCATTATCAGTAACAGTGGATAGACAGCAGAATTGCAGAACAAAGGATAGCTTGATTGGTGGAACATCAAGACTATTAAAAAGAAGAGATAGTCAATAACACATGTGGAATAAAGAGTTTAGAAGGGATCAGGAGAGCACAATGAGCCATGAAAACCATTGTCTCCCTCAGCACTGCCTGACTAGAAATGCTGCTACCACTGCCAGGCAGATAGTTTTAAAGTTTGGGTGGATCAGGAATCAAAGTTGGGGGGGGGGGGGCAAGTCCCTCCCCTCCACCATCCAGCCCTGGTTATCACATTAAAAATATTTTTCTTAGTGATACACTCATATTGATTTTCTTCCTTTTTTGCACTGAATGCTCACAACCCTCTTGTCCCCTAACCAACCTTATATTTTCAAGCCTATTAGTCCCCTACAATCTTTGGAATTTCTCTTCTTCATGGAGTCTATTACAAAGGTCTCACTGATTCAACCTTTTATTAGGTTGCATAGAGCTGAGCTCACATCCAGCAGCAGATAAGGACTCCCGACCTCTCTGAGCAGACATTAAAGGGCTAATGCAGCTAATACATTAAGCTTTGAATGAAGGCAGCTATGTTATTCTGCAGCTCCCTCTACTTGCTGCATCCCATCATGGCAATATGACAATTTGCTTCTGTAAACTTCCAATCTTTCCCTTCTACATCAGACCAGAAGATCAATATTAACTAGGTGGAGCATACTATTTGAAAAAAATCCAGGAACTTCATAATTATAACAGACAGTCTATATTTAACTCCTAGATTTGGGAAACAAAACAAAACTGGAGTGATGGCATGAATTAAGGATGAAATCGTCTGACTTAGATCCATAAGAAAACTAGAGCTTTACAGTCTGACCAAACAATGATTAAGTATAATTACAAAAAGACATAATAGAAGCAATAATGGAAGGGTTCATATAAGTTATACACAAGAGACCTATACAGCTGTGAAATAAAATATTTATAATTTAAATCGCTAAAACTAAAATTAGAACAGTGCATTTTGCAAGTAAGCAATACTCTGGAAGTGTTACAGTCAGTCAGCATCAGACAGGAGAAAACTTCCTTTGGAATTCTGCTGGATTTACTTTGACTCTAGAGCATTCAGTGAAGCTGGAAGATACTAAAAAGCCATGTTTGGAAAGACCAACAAAAGCCACAGAACAAGGCAGTCATGTTAAGAAAAGCACAGCTTTCTAGTCAGGTTACACTGACATAACAGGTGTTAAATTGGGCTCTTCCTCTTACAATAGTTTTGATAAACATGCCCAACTGAGAAACCTTTTTCTAAAGAAGCTGTGCTTCTAGGACTGTGCTTCAGTCAGGATACTAAAGATCTGGTAGAAATGCTCATTAACTTCACTGGGTTTTCGTCAGGTCCTTTATCTGCCTTTACAAAACACACCTGAACAATTGTACTAATCGCATGTAAAAGTCACCACATTTGTGTTATTATGTATAAGGCGCATCTACACATTGCTCTATGGTGATGTTGTTATGGCTCTGTACTTTAGTACTTCCTTTTAGAAGTCCTAAAACATAGAACAGTAACTGCCCGCACAGTCATTTTTCACCGCTACTTCGCCGTAACGACAAGCTAAAACAGGGTAATACGCCACTATGTTGAAGTAGCTGCCAATCACATGTAGATTCACGGGATCGCTATGTTACTGTAGCACATTGTACGGCAACATAGTACATCGCTAGGGTGACATAGGGCGATATGTAGATGTGCCCATATTGTCATAACCCCTGGAAGCCCCAGTCTCAAACGAGGCCTTTACTGTATTGGCTTAGACACTTACTCACTCCACAGTCTTGATGAGAAAAAGTTAACTGAAGAAAAGTTAAATGAAAAAGTTGCTTTAAGAAAACAGCAAGGTCGATATTTCATGTGTTTAAATGGATCCTCCTGAATGAGTACATTAAGTTTCATGAACACAGTGAATATCTTTAGCTTTATTTATTTAAATGGCCTTATTCTTCAAGATCAGGCCACAAATGTGTGGCATTTTTAAATAAATTGCTAGGGGCTAATCCTGTAATTCATCACTGCTGCAAGCAATCCTGAAGACTACCTCTGAGAACAAGGACTACTTACATGAGTAATTTTGCAGGAGTCGGCTTGTTACATGTGCGGAGTTCAGGTTGAAAACCCTAAGTGAACTTGTTTTGCTTAATGCTTGATCCACTTAAAACATGTGAGTTTGAAAGTTCAGCTCAAAAATCAAACATTATTGGATTCCCAGTTAGCAGAGACAGTGAAAAAGTAGTAGAGAGGGGAAAGAGAGAAAATATTTGATAACAAATAGGGTGAAAAATGTAATAGAGCCTGGAGTCTCTGATGTTACTCTAGGGAGTAAAGTGAGCACAGGTTGACCCCTATACTTTGCTCCTTTAATAGAATACACACAACAGTACCAGTAGCTGACTTTTCATGTGTTTTGTCAGCAGACTCCAACCCCATTAACTATTTTTAACTGCCATGTGGACAATCGTTTTCCTTCTCTGGCTTTGCACTGCAGCCCTCTCTATAGGAAGAATAATATAGTGTTATAAGCCATAATGCTGCTTCAATCAGCATTAAACCCTAGAAGCCTTCATTACAGACTTCAGGAAGGGAGAAAGGCACAGAAGGAAGGAAGAGGAACTAAACAAATGCCCTCTGATTATCATACACTGTGAGAAGCAGAGCAATAGTCATAAAGCCCTAATTAAATGTTAAACTGTAAGGAAGACTTCCAGGTCTGAAAAGAAGAGTAAGAAACATATTGAAGAGACATTGGCATCTTTGGTTCTACAGTCATGAGCCTATGGAAGCCTTTGGCCTCAGCACTTACTAGCCCCTACACAAGTGCCACATTAACAGAGACATGCCTGCCCACTACTTCTACAGACACTTTACTCCCCATAAAAGTGGGAACTCCAGAGCAGGAAAGGGAATACTCACTAAAATACTGCATAGTGGAGTGCAGTGCCACCTTTGAAGCCATTTAACCAGTCCACTATGTATCTGTAAGCTCACAGAAGGGTGATAAACCCCTTAGATTGGCTCCCACACAGATAGGAGGAGCAGCATAATGAGACCACTCTAAGGTCTCTCTTTACATTGCTGACTACAAAGCCAGGATGTCCATAACATCTGTTCATGGGAGCTGAGGGTATATACAATTATGTAAATCACTCTCTCCTCAGGAATAGCAAGAGGAAAAATAGGGGAAGATATAAAGAAATTAAGAATTCTTACCAACTAGAAGAGAGGTGGAAATAGCAGCTGACAGTGGGGAAAATGGATTCTTTAAGGTTACAGCTGGCCCTAGAAAAGCACGATGGGAAAAAAGATCTGGTAAGAGGGTAGCATTGCAGTGATGAGAGTTAACAAGGTAGCAGTAATCCTTATTGTGATTTTTGTATTTCTAGTGTGTCCTACATTTATACTTAATTATTTTCACAAGCCTTGTAGCATATTTGTTAATTAACATTCTTTTAAAACCAAGATTTGTTTCCCTGTATCTTGCCCTTCATTTGTTCCTGAAATGAAGTTGTAAGAGGTGAGATATGTTAGGAAGGTTTTTCACTCCTTCCTTTGCAAGTGATTCTTGCCTTTGTTCCAATGTCACCAGAATGTTTGTTACTTAGCACAGCACTGAATAAAGAAACAAGTGAATATAGGACATAACCATTCCCATGTCTCAGGCTATACCAAGCGTACTGCTATTATTAGAGATGGGTCACCAAAGGAGATATGTTAATTAGAGTACACAGTACGTTATTACTGATACTGTTCATTTGTTTGACCCTGCCCAAGATGGTCAGTTAGTTCAATAGAAAAGGAGCCTAGCTAAACCCTATCTCCAGCATACATGTATTGAAGGAGAGCAGAGGATTTTTTCTTCCACTGTGCAAGTCCAGGGTACTAACACATCATGAAGTTGTAGGCTCAGCTGACATTTACAGTGTTGCTTCAAGCCATGGGTCACCACCAGCTAATGGAAGTGGGGACTGACATTCTGACCTTCCTACAAGGAGAACACTTTAACTGGAATCCCTTAAAGTAACGTAGTGTTCTTTTTTGAAACAATGGGAATGTATGGCAATGAGAACCCTGCCTTAGCCTTTTCTGAACTATCCTGCCTGTGGTCACAGGATTGTCTATGCTCAACCCTATTTTAAGGGGCAAGGATCTATGCATTAAAAGTAATGTCCTTATCACAGTCCAGCTATATCTTCTGTCCCAAGTTTGGAGTGAGCTCTATTCTCTGCCCTAAAGAGAAAGCAGGGCATGGACAAACTTTTCAAAACAGGGGGTTTCGAATTTTTCTAAACCAAGCATTTTGATTTTCCAACTTGAAATAAAATTTCATTCTCAGTTGTTTTTATAAAATATTTTTGTCCCCCTCCCCAAGAGAAAACCCCTGTAAACTGAAATGAAGCATTTCAGTTTTGTTGAAATGTGATGCTTCAGTTGACTGCAAAATTTCAAATATATTGCTTCTCATTTCAGACATGGTTTGGTAAATTATGAAATAGCTATTAAACAAAAATTCCACCATTCATCCCAATGAATCATAATGAAGACCCTGTTGCCCCATTTTATCCTGGAAGAAGCAAGTTACATCGACCCTCAGCTTGGTGTGCACAACCGCTCACTGAGTCAATTGAGTTGGCTGGTATGTGGAGCCAAGAATTCACTCATCTGCAGACAGCCAAAAGCTTCTTTGCTTCTTTGCTCCCCTCCTGCAATGCATGTAACCCACCCAGAATAGGAAAGGATTGTCTATTATTCTTCTGCACAGGTATAGACTGATTTACAACTGAACTATTAGGGTTTTCTTCTGCTGCTCATCACTGTTCTATCTGAGTATGTCCCGCACCAATGCTGACAATAATACAAAATCTCAATTAGAATTAATGGAGTCTTATCACTTTTCTACCTTTGGAGTTGCAGAAAGGTCTACAAAGATATGGTGAGGTTCTCTGGAAGGGTGGTTGCTTGGTGAGAAGGAGTAGGCATTGTTGTGAATGTCAGACTTGCTGTGGTGGGAAAACTATTTCTTTGTAAGTTCCAAATGTATATTTTACATAAGTGAAAAACACCACTCCCTGATTTTCTGGAATAAAAAAAATGTCACATCCATCACAGAGTTCAAGGAATTTGAGTGATACATTTTAAGTTCACCAGGAAGAAATTTTGTCTATCAATTATATTCATTATGGTTACCAGAAGGAAATGGTCTTTCATAAGCAAAAATAGAATAGCCTGTCATAATCATTTATTTATAATGGTATATATGTATGGCTTTCACCAGGGGCTTAAAGACTAGAAAGCCTAATGTATAAAAATAAAAAAGAATTTGATGATACTCACTAAAATCTGTTATGGCTCAATCTGGAGTATGTGGGGAATTTGGATAAATTCACACATTGAAATTGATAAAATATGTTGGACTAACCTCTGTGGCTCCAAAGTGGAATTTTTGGAATACTGGACATGTATGCAGGCATGCAATTGATCATAATTTTTCTAAAGTACTCTCAGTGAGGCTGTTTGTTCCACTGAGTTCAATATGAGTTTCATGACTAACTTAAATGGAAACAGAATTTGACCAATGCTGAGCACTTTTTGAAAATCTTGCCCATGCATTCTGAATTTGGACAGGACTAATTTGTGGATATATTTGCAATGGAAACAATTTTTGTGGCCACATCTATTCTGCCTTCCTGCTAAACCCTAGATTACCAGAGAAACAAACCCCACCCACCCCTTCCCACACTACACACATTCAAGTCTGGCAATTAAAGTGTAGATATTTTAGAGAAGTCCTGAGTGCATGCACTAGCACTGCTCTCAAGTCCCTTCCTCTGAGGAGCATATTCAGACCCCCTGTAAACTGTCTGCACTGATGAATAGTTAGGCTAGACATGGCCTAAGACAGGGGCGAGCAGTTATTTTGGGCAGAGGGCTGCTTACTGAGTTTTGGCAAGCCATCGAGGACCGCATGACAGGCAGCCCAGGGCAGATTGATATTAATTTTATAAAATTTTTAAGGGCCCTATGGGCCGGATAGACTGGCCTGGCAGGCACATCCGGCCCCCGGGCCACATATTGCCTACCCCTGGCCTAAGAGTTACATCATCAGAACAGAATTGGCACCCTGCTCCAAGCAGAGAAACTAACACTGAACATACTCCATACCCCTGGGATGTAGCAATGCAATGATGGGCAGGATTAGACCTAATGAGCTGGGAGGAAATATTCATGTGTTCTTGGCACATATGTGAATACATATGATATTCAGCACTCTGCATATTGTGATGTGCCTATTCAGATGGAAGCTACAGATCCTGTGTTCTCTATGTAAAAGGATATTATTATTTGGCTCTTTTTTACTATGTTATAGTATAGTACATTCTTGATTATTTGGAGGTCATATGTGAACATAATAAATTAGTTAGGCCTATACAAACTTTCTTCCCTGCACCCGCCATATATTTGAACATATGATCTTGTGAAATACAAGCCTGAAAGAAATCATTCAGCAATAGATCGCACCTGTGATTTATTACTTTGCAATGGGAAAAGGTATAGATAATGAACTTTTAAAGAAAAAGCTAAATTGTTGAGAGGAAATATTCCTATCTGTGGTTTATTTTATCTCTATAGTGATAGTATTTCTTAGGTACTCATAAATGTAATTCCTGGAAGTCCAGTTCATCAACTGTGTAAATGAGGGCAACAGTTTGATTCCATCCCAAATTTTTTGGGCCAACTATTAAGCTGATATAAATAGCACAGCACTGTTGACTTCAGATAATTTATGCTGTTTTATATAAGTTGTGAATTTGTTAGTTCATTTACACTGATTTCTACCTTGCTTTTCCAGTGGCATTCAACATTTTTTCTCTTTTCTTTTACTCATGCTTTTCCTTTTTTTGCATATGAACAGTTTTACTTATATATCATGCATCATTTTTTCCTTTTTAATCACTAGGTTTACTGAAATGATATATAGATATTTTATTAAAGAACATAAATCTAAAGAAGGATACATTTTCCCATCCCACACACTTAAAACACAATTCACAAGCTCTTTTTTCTTTCTCTGTAGGTACTGTCCCTTTTACCTATGTGGAAATAAGTTCCTGTTAAGTTCTGGCTCAAATAATAATAATAATAATAATAATAATAATACCTAGAGTTCTTAGTAGGCACCAGGGCTTAATTTCTTGAGCAACAAAAGTGAAAAAGGTGAAAACACTGACTTCTGATTTGTTTTCATTAAGAACATACCAGACTTCTTGGATCCAGCCCCCAGTCCTCTTTTTGTATCTTAAGGCAAGAGATTCAAGTCAAAGCTGTGTTAGAACATGGCTTGCTCACCCTGTCTGCCCCCCCAAAACCATTTCTGACCCTGCTTTGGGGGACGATATTGAAAACAGTCAAAATATAACCCTGCTAAAAACATGAATCAAAAAGTCACTGCTTGTGGACATGTTTTTAAAATTGCTTAGTTGCCTGGAAGTCCCTTTAGTGCTTGAAGGACTTTAATAAAATTGATTTTCTGAGTATAGCCTTTTAGCAGCTACTGTATAAGCTTGAAATATGAACCCTTCATTGTTGAAAGTGTTTCATTTTTGCCCTGTAACTAATGATCAAGGGAAAGAATGTGTTCAGAATTCTCCATGGCTACCATTTTCATAATTAAATCGTGCTAATAATAAAGCTTTGCAGACTTTAAACAAACTGGCACTGGAGTGGAATGTGGTTTGCGGTGTTTCATTTAGAGACCTCTGCAATTAGCCCTTAATGAATAAGCATACCACAGTGATAAGTAAGACATCTCTGTGAACTGCTTATTTACCAAAGCACAAAACTGTGACATTTTCATTCCAGTGATTGAAAATTATTCTCTAGATTTCTTCAGAAGGGCTCTTAAGTAATTATTTTGGGAAGTTAGAGCACATTAATTGTTTTTAATACCTGAAGTCTTATTTCAACTGCAGTTTGCTATGCTACCCATTGTTTATCCTAATCTGCACTACAATGGATCAAAAACAAGCAGGCAAATCAATAAAGGTACATTTAGATAAATAAGT